TGGGGAAGAGAGGTAATCCTGTTTCTTCTGAGATTAGGGAGGAACAGGGGGAGAAGAAAAAAGAAACACRTCCATTTTAAAAATAAGTCACCGCGTTTGAGAGCAGCAAGGCTATATTTAAAGCATAAAGTGGACCACTGTTCCGAGGTCAGGTACAGACCATGACTTCGGAATAAATGAGGTCGCTGGCAGGGGAGAGGGTGAGGTGACTGTTCCATTATCACAAAGATTTTCTTGTTACACTATTTACATAAATCCAATTTTTTTCAATCTTCTGTTGTTTTAGTTTGAACCATTTCTTTTAAGTGTAAATGGACACAATACTTTTATTTTTATGTGGTGCTGAGGACTGAACCCAGTGCCTAACAAGCAAGGYAAGTRCTCTACTGCTGAGCTACAACTGCAGCCCRCCATTTATTTGGGGTGGTGGGTACTGGGGATTGAATTTGGGGGCACTCAACCACTGAGCCCCATCCCCAGCCCTATTTTGTATTTTATTTAAAGACAGGGTCTCACTGAGTTGCTCATTAGCACCTCACCATTGCTGAGGCTGGCTTTGAACTCTCCATCCTCCTGCCTCAGCCTCCTGAGCCCCTGGGATTACAGGCAGGCACCACTGTGCCAGACCCAAGACTGATTGTTATTTTTTATGTCAATGAGGATCTTTTATTGACCTTTAAATGACAGTACATTGTATTTTTAATTTCTCAATTTTGTTTTCTAATATGGCAAATATCAATAGACAAAACCCACAAAAACAAAAGCTCTTTGTTATTCTCAAATAAATTTTAAAAGTTTTAAGGAATTCTGGTACCAAATGTTTAAGAACTACTGACTTAGAGTATGCCCGAGAGTGGAATTGCTACACTGTAACTTATCTTTACTAAATATTTCCAAATTATTCTCCAAGATGATTGCATTAGGATGTCTGTTGCTCAAATCCTCATCAGCATTCTGGAATTTTTTTACACTTAAATTTTGCTTATATTCAATAGGCGCCAAAGTGGTGTTATTTTAGTTTATGTTTCTCTGATTATGTACTTATTATGTGTGAGATCATATACTTTCCATGCATTTATTACCCTTACAAATTTTTTCTTCCCTAAATTCCTGTTAAAATTTTTACACATTTCTCTAATAAGTAGCTGTTTTTTTGCATCAGTTTTTAGGGGCACTTTAAATTTTCCATGCAAAGTACCCTTGGTTGAGTTCTCCTTTTTCAATTCTTAAAAGTGACAGTATATTTTGAAATATTACACATAGAAGAACTTGTTCCAATTAGTATCACATTATTGTGATTGTACATGATATGGGTTTATATTGGTCATATATTTATAAATGAGGATAATTAAGATATGTTCAATTTATTCTGCTTTTTTTTTTCCTATTACTATCCCTTCTCCCTTCCCTTCACTCCTCTTTGTCTAGTTCAATGAATTTTTTTGACAGTAGAATGCATTTTGACATTGTACACAGATGGAGCACAACTCCTGCTTGCTCTGGCTGGAGTCCCTCCGTAGTGCGTCATATGTGCATGCAGGGTACTAATGTCTGTCTCACTCTGCGTCTCCCCAGCCCCAGCCTGAGACTTATTTTTAAATGGAACATCTCTTCCTCTTCCTCTATCCCTGTTCCTAATTTCTCCCCTTCCCTAATCTCAGGGGAAACAGGATTACCTTTCTTCCCCAGCCRTCTGTCCTTGAGCACACACCCACCACACCAGTGAAGTCCTCCAGCAGATCTCAGATACGACAGTCTCCCCAACTAACAAGTGAATTACAACTCCAACGGAGAACCCTCGAGTGTACCCTTKGAGTCGCCCCTTTAAAAGCCCCCTATTCCTGCTGACCGGCAGAATCACAGCCTCTGGGATGGGGGTCTCCTRTGCTTCTTTGCTAGTAAAGCCAATGAAACTTTTTTCCTTTTTCTCAACATCCGTCCTCATTATTGGATTGGACTTGGAGACAAAGGACCGAGCTTTTGGTGACAGCTCTGCAGCATAGATGTGACCCTGGAATYCCTTTTCTCTTGAGTTCCTGCTGAGGCCCACTCCCTTTTGGCTTTTGGCCTTCCTTTTTGTTTTCTTGGTTTTACTAAAACAGATGCTGAGAATGATTCTCAGAATGCVTGCAGACACATTTACTGAACCTTTGCTTCTGTTTTTATATTTGTGCTTAACAGTTTGGTTGTGTAAAAATTCTAGGTTCATTTTCCCTTTGAGCCTGAAGGCATTGCCGGGCGCTGTCCTCTGCCCACTGGCTACAAGGTTCACCTGCTTCCACGTGGTTGACTCTTCTGTTCCTGGGACTCCGCCAGACTCAGCGCGCTTGGCTCCTGGGCTTCTGTCTCGCAGACGCATCCCTGACCTCCCATGTGGCTCTGCTTCTCCAGCTCTTTGCTCCCACCTGCCTCAAATTGTGTAGGTCAGCTGGCCAGAGGGTTTTACAAGAAAAAGCCACGTCCCCAGACTCCTGCTCCATTTGTTTCTGGGGTTCCTGGTCATGTCCTCTGTTGGCATCAGATTCACCTTTATAGGTCGGGAGCCATTTCATCTAGAGGCTCCAAAGTTTGGATTCTGAGGCAAGGCTGCTTAACTTCCCGTAGAACAGGTGCCTGCTAAATGAGCAATCCCACCCAGCTTATGATGCAGCTCCTCAGCAGCTTATGAAATTCCTCTTGCAGGCTATGTTGTCCTAGGGGGACAGCCTTGTTGGTTTGCCTTGTGCTACTGACAATAAATCTCTTGTGCGAGATTCCAGGGTGTGGCATGATCTTTGGACTTTTCCTGGACTCTGCGAGTGTCCCTTCTGCCTCCAYGTCAGATCATTTCTTGTTTTCTAAGCCAAATCTCTGTTTCCTTTTCCTTTTTGAGACAGGTTGTCACCAAGTTGCTTAGGGCCTCGATAAATTGCTGAGTTTGGTTCTGAACTTGCAATCCTCCTACCTCAGCCTCCCAAGCTGCTGAGATTACAGGTGTACACTTAATAACAGACTTTATATTTTATGGCGACAGAGTTCTTTTCTCCTTCCTCCTGCTCAGGGCAGAGAGGCAAACTTTTTCGAAAAAGGGCTGGAGAGAAAATAGCCTTGCAAATCTCATGGTCCGTTACATATTCTTGTTTTC